TGGGATAAGTTCCTCCGTAGTTAAGTGGAAGAATACTAGGATCGATGTTGTTTTTCAGATCTTCGATGGATTTGTGATTAAATATCTGTAGTACACAAATACCATTGAAACACTTCTAAATACATTTTAAAACATGTGTGATTAATTACCCTCTGGGAAATTTTCTTATTCAAAAGACTTATTATGATATTAAATAACGGCTGCATGAAACTTCTCATATTAATTATGTGAATTTGGTGGATCTGCGCTGGGTATACCTTCTAAATACATAAAATAATTAAGATATTATTTACTAAATTATAATGGTAAGAAGTAAAATTAATAATTTTATAAAGATCTAATATGTTATTATTAACATAATATATATGTATATATATATAACTATAATAAGCTTTAATCCTTTCAACAGTTAATCTATAAACTCTCGAATCAGAGTAATATTAAATGAATATTCAAAAATTACTTACTAATGCATTTTCAAGGCCTTTTCTAACATTAGCTAAAAATGCTGTTAAGTGATTCATGGTCAAATTATTCGTATCATAAATGAATATGTCCTTTTTGTAGGTGTCTAATTTAACCAGTCTGAGATCAAATGACATAGTACATAGTTTAAAACTATCATTACATACAAAATGGTCGGCTTCTTCAGTCCTTATACTAAAGAGGGTTACTCTGTGGCCCTCATGAGTTGGGTTTGGTAATGGGGCACAACAACTAGAAAATCAATGTTTCAACTATAAATGGCAATGAAGTATTAATAATTTATTTATAATATTGAAGAAAATTGTATTTTCATTTAAATGGGGTAAATGGCAAAAAGTCTGCTTGATTTACTAAAGGTTTAACGTTATTTTTATTTTGCCGCAACCAAATATAGTAGCTATGTAAATACTAACAAAAGTTTCATTGCTTGAGTTATCTCTGGTGAAGTCGGATCCCACTCGGTGTAGTATTCTGGTATTAGGAGTTTTACAGTGTAATGCTGGTCCAACACCACTTTGGTTTTCTCCAAACTATTCTTGCACTTGATCAAAAACATTTTGATTCGTTTTTCATCAATCCTCTTTTCATCGTCTAATGAATAATTGTATTGATTGGTGTTTAATATTAAGAGAATATCTAAAAATAAAAATAATACATTATACCGTCTGGGTTGGGAAGATGGGGCTGTTTTCGCATCCACTCCTTGAGAAATTTCACGTCAAGATCTATTTGTGTCTCAGAAGTACCCAACTCGCTATAGATTTGACTGATTGTGCTCGGTGATGGTAGTATTAACGTTTTAGTTTCCATTGCTGTTGAAGTGTTTGTATTTTACACGCAATCTTCAAGTGTTACAAAGGATTAATTTGAAATACAAGTTAATTAATAACTTATACTGACTATACCAACACGCTACTCGCTGGACTAAGAAAGGTATAATACTTCTTTAACGATATTAAATTATAATGGTAGTTCTGTTGACATAGAAACAATTTACAAGGATTTAAATTTTTTCTCATGGTACTAAAATATGTTTTAGTTTTTCAAACAATTATTATCATAATTTCATTGTTCTGATTTTCGCAAGTGTGTGTATTTTGTGTTCATGAATAACATTACGCTAGTTATTCAACGACATTAATTTTCTCTGTTGGTGTTATTGGCAGAACTAATTTACAAGGTTGCTTTTTAGTTATAATACGTATATGTATAATACCCATATGTTGTAATTAACAATATAATGAAAATATTTTCATTGCGTGTTGACTGTTGATTCACACACACATAGAAACCTTGAAACTGACTACGGTCAAAATGTAAATTTACCTTAATTCTGGTGTTTTTCCTAAATAAAAGAAAAATTTGCTTACAGATTTTTGAGAAAATTGTATATGTTATGGTTTCATTCTAGATCTACCTTCGGTCTAATTTTCAGATCTACTTCTCTTAAACTTTGCTTGAAAAAGTAAAATAAAAAAAAATTTCTATTCCTTTAAGATTCCTATTGTCATCAGAAATATTAGCATACGAAATATCATCGGTAAGTTATTCATTGAGTTTTGACTGTCATAAGGTAATAGCGTGCATTATGTCATTATTCGAAAATTTCACCGAAGAAGAAACCAGTGAAGGATTGGGTTAAATGGCCTAAAGTAAACGACTTAAAAGGCTTGTCGTTTTTTCCGTTTTAAAATGTTTAGTGCAGTGAAATGTTTAGAATCATTATATTTTTCATGATACACAGAGACCATTGTCTAATGGAAGTATTCATATTAATTTTACACTTGGATATCTGAAGTTAAAGATTTTATTACTTGTTACTATATTTAAAACTCCCCCAAAAAGCCATACCACAAATATTTCACAATGTAAGAACATTACAACTCACCAAATATACTCTCCTATGCTATATACACTATTTGTTATACATATTTCAAAAAAGTTACATAGTTTTTCACATTTATATTAGAACTCGACTAAATAAATTAACCGTACAGAACACAACTTACACCACTTGTTATTGGTGTAAGACTTTAGAAATAAAAATGTATTTCAACTTATAAAGTAGAATAAATTACTAATAACCTTTTAGTTAAACATTTTAGCTTCAATACCTAGTTGCGAAGGTATTGTTTTCAAATTGATGTTTTTAATTTATTTTTTAGCTTCGATGCAAAGCGAGAAGGTATTGGTTTTACTCTGATGTGGGCTTTTTTTTTCGCAGTATACACTGTAACTTTTTTAATACTAAACCATTACCTTCGAATAACAACTCCCTAAATCACAAATTTGATCTAGTTTGTACTTAGGGGGGGGGGGGTAAAAGTTGAAAAAGTTTAATTCTTCACAGACATAATTTGAAAAAACAAACCGGACGAGTTTTCAAGTTAGAACTTTTACTGGCTATAATTTCGAGAAAAAGAGTCGGATCGAGTTGAAATGTGTAAGAAATAATTATTTGATATGCCTCGCACACGTTAGATGTGTCAAATTTAAACTATACCCATTTCCCACCCCCCTTGGGGGGGTACAAGTTTTTTTGTTTTTCGGGGTTTTTCGCCGTAATTTTAAATTTTTTGGGTTGAAAATTTGCCAGTAGTTGGAACTCATATGTATCCATAACATATTGAACGGGAAAAAAATTCGGCACTACAGTTTTTTTTTAATTACCGGGAAACTGTGTTTTCGCAGATTTCGTATATTTTAACAAAAACACCTAAAATCTTTAAAAAAAAATTGATCAAATCATTAAAACAATTTTATGTATATCTATGCAGAATGATACTATTAAGTTTTTTGCTCAAGTAGCACTTTTGACTTTAAGTTTACACAAATTCAATTTTTTTTTTTTTTTAACTAAAAACACTGTGTACCAGATGAGAGAAACGAACAGACACTAAAAACTATCAGTTGGTAACGTCTATCCGTGTTAGGTTAGGTTAGGGCCCAACGGTCGGTATCATAATATTGTGTTTATTACATGATATCACAGACGACTAAATCGTGTAACTGATTATAGTAGGCACAAGATTTATTGGGAAAAAAACCTATCCGTGTACTTATTAAGACACTTAATGATTCTGATACGACAAAACCACTAATAAGTAATATATGTAGGTAAAATTTATTGTTTTCTCCATCACAGTACCAGTATACAATTTATTTTTAATTTAAATGTAAGAAAATCGATTTTTCTTTAGAAAATAACAATAAATTAATATAAAGGATGGGGCAATAAAACGGCGATTTTCTAATGTCTTTAAATGGGGGGTCCCACTTAAAGGTTCCCGTTTAGGGAACCTATCCGTTTCACTATTCCACCCTTTACGTTTTAAGGATCTATGAAAAAGTTTTTTTAGTTGCATTTTATTTTGTACATTGTCAATCTAGTAAAATAGAAGTATAATATAGCTTTGAAATAATATAATCTATGAAGTATAAATTGTTTGTGTGAGATTGCTCTGATGGAAGTATATAATACATAAATATTAATTTTATTGAGAATAAGCGATTATAATTTAAACAATGGAGTACAAACGATTGAAACATCAATCGTCGACCATTCCAACAAAATTTAATAAGACATTGTAATGTGTCATTTGATCCACTACGTTTTGGCAAAAAAAAAAAACCAGTACAGTGGGGACGGGGAGGTCACAGGTTTACAGGAATTTTTAAATCTGAAAGTGATAAAATCACTTTCGAAAAAACGCTTCGATGCAAATCGGTAGTTAGTATTTTCAAGCCAGTACAGTCCAAACCAAGCACAGTATAAACCAGCAAAGTTAGAAAGTTTTAAATTAAGGTTATGTATTTACAAATGAGCATCAAAGCGTTTATTTGAAAGTGATTTTATTCAATTTTATCACTTTTATTTATAACTAGTACAGTAGAGTATAGGCATAATGTAATCAAAGCAATGAGGAAACGGAGAGGTCACAGGTCTACAGGAATTATTATAATAAAATTCCTGTAAACCTGTGACGTCTTCGTCCTCACTATGCTCCGACCCAACTATGCTCCGTCCCCACTATGCCTTATCTTAAATCGCTTACTTTAGATGGTGTAAGATAACTTAAACGTCATTAACCTAATCTAACTCATCCCTAAACGTATCTACCACCATACTTCCCCCTCCCCAGATTATGCCTTTATACTTCGTAACTAAAAAAAAAACAATTCATTCTGATTATTTAATCATTTTTACACATGTACATATTATGAATTTCCCATTTCCCAATTGACTTATCAAAATGTTTAATGAACTATACCGTTTTTTTGCCAAAAGAATTATGACTGAAATTGATTATTCCTACAACAAATGTATACAAGTAATATTTTAATGAAGATGACCTGTTTTTTAACAACGTTATGTGTACATATAATCTTTTAGTTATAGCACTAAATTATATTTTACAAAATTAATACCGTGATAAATAATAATAATAAATAAATTGGTAGACACAATATTTTCAGGTGCCGGCATAATAAATGACACAAGCCTAAATAACATTATGGTTATACTTATAGCGGTAATATTATTTTTAGTAGTTGTGTATTATAAAATTGTAAACCGGAGAAAGATATCATTGGCAAATCGAATACCGGGTCCAGATGGATTATTTTTTGTGCTATCTATTTTACTTGAAGGACCTGAAAAATTATTGAAGAATATATTAAAAGTTGCCAGAAAGTAATTACCCTCTTTTCTCGTTTATCTATTACATTTTATTTTATTTTTAGATATTCTCAATTTCTAGTAATTTGAGTGCAACAAATAACAATAATTAGTTTTGTTGTCTTTGTGAACTAGATACGAGAATACATTAAAGAAAGCCTGGATTTTGGATCAATTATTCGTATTTCCTGGAAATCCCGAAGAAATAGAAGCGGTTTTTACCAATCCTAATATGTTCAACAAAGCTAAACTGTATAAAATGGCTAACGACTCAATTGGGGGCAATGGATTATTTTCAATCAGGGTGTTTGATGAATGGAAAAATAACAGGTGAAATTTTTCAGTGTGATCTTATATTTATTTTTCATCACAACTATAGTAAAACAAAACATTAAAATTCGTAAAACAATAATAAAGCATCAATTTGTATAACACATTCAAAAATATAATGGAAACTATTAATAATTTTCTTTAAAATGCTAGGAAATCAGTTTTTATCGCCAATTTTTTAAATGTTACTCTTTCGAAATTACCTACCTGTCGTTTATTATTATAATTTTCAATTTGTGTCGATACTTGTAGAAAATTGGTAGCTGCGGGGTTTAAATTTTCGAATCTTAAATCGTTCGTACCAATATTTTACGAAGAAGCAAAATTCTTGAGCCGTGTATTGTACGAGAAACGGGAAATCAATTCAAATGAACGTGATTTAAGCAGGGATATCAGTATGGCGACTTTGGAGATGATCGGAAGAACCGCTTTGGGTGTAAAATTGAATGCACAGAAAAACGACAACCACGTATTAGTGGAGAATTTAATATCATCAAAAAGGTATACTTTTATTGTTTTTTACGTCATTACTGTAAACCAGGTCGGATGCAATTTACCGATACTTTTTAAGTGTCGCCATGTTGCACAATACATACAAATGGACCATTTAAATTATTTTCGTAATAACTGGTAGACAATTGGATATAATTAACCCACGACATTGTACCGCACGATAATGACGCATTAAATAACGAAAAAAGAATATATGCCACAATTTATAGGTAGCACACAACCAGTTCGGAACGTTGTCGTGATTGTAATATTGATGATAAGTTCAGGAATTGTAATTTCATAAAATATCAAAAATAATTTTGACAGCGCAGAGGCCCTCTTAATCCGGGCGTGCTGTTTAAACGAATCTGTATACATAGATATATAAATAAAATATGAAGTCCTGACTAACTGTCAACACACAACTTAAACTATGGTAGCTAGCGATTTGAAATTTTCAGGGTATGTTTGTATTATAGTCTAGGCGTGCAATAAGAAACGATTTTGATTTTAAGGGGTTGAAATGGGCAAAAACTAAATTAAAATTGTCTTTTCTCAAGCTGTCATCTTGCGGCCCTATGTTGGTGATGATCTATGTTGATATGATGTTCTAACGTGGCCTTGTTTAATACTGTGTCCATATCTAACTTAAATTATTACAGCTTAAATCTTTATGCGAAATTTTCCACGTAAAAACTGCGCTCAACTAGAAATATTAATAGTGGTCATTTTGATGTATAGTCACTTGTTTCAAATCAAATTTTTACTACAGTACCATAAACACCATTACCCAATACCGGGAAATTGTAATAAGTGTACAAATAGGGTAAGAAAATTAAAGCTGATTTTTTTTTATTGGCAATTACATTTGTAAAAATATTTTAAAATGTCGATTGAAAAGATTATTGTAAACGGCCTATTGACACCTCAAATAGTTGTTCCTATCATAGAGATGGTGCCTGCGTTTTTCGATCAATTTCGTATCCTCCATTTAATGAGCAAGAAAGGTGCTAGAAGGTACAAAATACAATTGCTTCGCATGTTCATTGGAATGACTTCGACATATGTCTTACAATTCGAATGGCGACAACTTCTTATCTTCTACAAATTATGTCCGTGAAATGTCAATTCATTCAATCTACGCTGGTACTTTCGAATTTGTTAGATAACGCTTTATTTTAAACGTTATTTTGGGTGATTTACACTTAAAAAGACATTGCTTCCACAGCGAGTTACACCCAAAAGGAGTTGAACAATCACAATTTTTTCCGGGCCACGCCGGGTAGTAATATAACTATTCAATCGTTATAACTTAAAAGTACTTAACCAATGATGTTTTTGAGCTAGCGTGTCAGCTCTTTGTAATGAAAATTTGGTTTTTGTAGGTTACTGTGTACCGAATAACACACCCGTGGTTTATGACAGAAGTCTTTTTCACTTGTCAACGTATAAACGTAAACAAGACATTAGCCAAAATAAAATTTACAATTTCATTGAAGATTTAGTCCAGAAAAAAAATAGAACTGAAAAATAATATAAACAGTCTAGGAGAACATAACGAAGAGTGTACGAGCGTTAAATGTAAATCTTTTATTGAGATAATGCTCGGAATGAACATCAGATGACATTTAAGCAAATACGGGATGAAATAATAACTACTATAGTTGGTACGTTTTTTAAAACATTATATTAGGAAAGAATTGTTGGCAAATGTATTATAGTTGGTCTTTAAAAATGTTAAGACTCAGTTGGTACTTTATATGGTATTAAAGAGGTTAAAGTGATATTTTTATACTTTTTATTTATTATAAAGTCTATGATTACTCAAGTTGATCGAATGGTCAGACAAAATATAATAATAACCGTTTAAAACCATTTCAACATTTTGTATTGCGTCATTGTTTAAATTTAAAAATCTTATTTGTTGAATTACTTATTTATTTATTTTAAAATTAATTAGTGATACATAAAACAAGTGGACTTTAATTTGATAAATAATATCAAATATTTATTTGTGTTGTTATTTGTGAATATCAAAACAGGTTGCAAAATTGACATAATCCAATTCTCTAATAAATACACAACTATTGATTAAATAGTTTCAAATACCAAGCGTATAAAGAGAGCTGTTTTTTCTTTGATTCTATCTTTTAAAATTTGGTTTTAGGAGGCCAAGATACTACAGCTGTGTCGACTGCGTGTTTAATATTTATGTTGCTCATCATCAGGATGTACAAAATAAAGTAAACTCTAATTCGTATTCAGTTTTATTAATTGAAAAATTACACATTATAGATATTCTTGGTGAGGAAAAAGTGATATATTTTTTATTTCTGCTTATTAATAGGTGTTGGAAGAGTTATTGACAATATTTTCTTCTGGCGATCCGGATCGACCACCTACCTATGAGGATTTACAAAAGATGCAATACTTGGAACGTGTAATCAAAGAAACTCTAAGGCATTTTCCCCCTCTTCCCTTGTATGGCAGAAACGTTGAAAAAGAAACTGTTATCGGAGGCTTTTTAATCCCTGCAGGTACGGCCGTAGACAAAAATTGTTCGATAAATTGCAACCACATTAGGTGCTTGAAATTACTAAATTAAATTGAAAAAAAATATCTACAGGAACAACGGTCATGGTGATCTCTGCTTGGATACACTTCAATCCAAACATTTATCCGGAACCAGAGAAGTTCAATCCGGACCACTTCTTGCCCGAAGCATGTCGCAGTCGCCATCCGTATTCGTTCCTGCCTTTTAGCGGTGGTTACAGGAATTGCATTGGTATCAAATATGCAATGCTTCAAATGAAAACTGTCGCCTCGACATTGGTTAGATCTTATCGTCTCCGTCCGTCGGATAAGTGTCCAAAACCTGATAATCTTCGATTAATGTTTGCTGTTTCACAAACATTTGTCAACGGGTGCTACGTTAAAATAGAAGCGAGAATGTGATCAATATTGAAGCTGTGTTGTAAACCAGAATTGATTAAATATTAGTTATGGGTTTTCAGGTTATCATGTAATCATGTTAATTAGGGTTTCATCATTTTATTGATTTTACCTAGGAACGTATGTTATTAGGGTTAGTTATTATTTTGGCTTACCAATTTGTTGGTGTTGACTCTTCTTTCCAAATACATCTTTTATAAACTGTTTAAGCCGTCTATATCAATATTTTCTTTGGTTTTATAGACATTGTTTATCTGTTAGTTTAATATAATCTTCATTTAAAATTGCAAGTATGTTTTTGGCCGAAAACAGATATTGTGTAATAAAGAAATGAATTGTTTTTCTTCGACAACAACGTCGTTTATAATTCAGTTTGATATAAATAACCAATAAAAGCATAAAAACAAATGTTAAGAAAAAGTTAACACTGTACTCTGTAAAAAGGTAATTTTTAAATAAGCCATCGATATAAGAATAAATTGAAGTTGAACGTTATTTTAGTATTGAATTAAATAAAATTTGGCACTTTCCTATAGCTACACAAATAAAAAATGATAAGACATTTTTTTGAATCTTATGGTCTGCATCTTTGTTGCACTAATTAGAGCCTTTATATTACTGAAATAAATTCTAATAACATTTTTTCAATAATATACTATTTTGTCGTTATGAAAACGTAATTGAAATTGTATTAAAAAGGGTTCAAGTTTGTATATTTTATTTATTTATTTTCAGTAAGGATGTACTAAACCATTTATTAAGATATTTAACGGGAAATCTATAAACCTTCATAAACGTTTTCTAACCGTTCCCGTTTACTCCGAACCACGCACACATAGGCTTAGCCAACCGTTTTCCATCCAGGGATCCATGTCCTTAGCCTTATCCACGGCCACTGCACTTAACCAGACAGCAGGTCTGTTACAATTCGGTGGAGGCGCCGTTTGCGGTTAGTCTTATATTTTTACACCGATGGACAGCCCATTTTTCAAGGGCATAAGCTACGGACACGACCCTATCCAATTATGCTAATAAATTGGTGTTACTCTCGAGTTATAGTGAGGTGGTTTAAGGTACAATTTGCTTTGGAGAATCAATAATAAGACTGAATTGCAATTACAATATTTTTTACATTTTATAAAGCGACATATTATACAGACAATTAATTATTAAATTTACAACAATACTGAGAATCTAATGAATATTTTTACCATAATTACCTACTTGACAATTCTGACAGTACTACACCGTCTGACGACTTAGATAATACTGTAATTCTTTCTGCTAATAAAACAGACACACCCGCAGCTGATAAGCCGTCTACAACAGGGGAAACTCCCGAATTTTCAGAGAGCTTGGAAAATGACCCCGAGATAGAACAGAAATCGGTTTCACCGAAAGTAAGTGCGAAAGTGAGAATGAGCATTACACCACAAAGTTTTTCCGGTCAGATGACCGAAGACAATGATCCAAGAGCCCAAGCCTTGGGTCCGTCGTGTGCTATTCTACGAACCAATACATTTATTGAATTTTAAATATTTATTTAGTTAGTGTAATATACATTTGATTTTTTATTAAATAACTATGCACCACGTATAATTAAACAAGAATATAAGAAACAATAGAATATTAGAAAAAATATTTTTAGTATTTAGAAAAATCGTAAGTTTCAAGTACACGACATTACATTTATGTTGTCAAGAAACCATCAGCATATGCATATATGGTTTCTTAGAGAATTAGCGAATTTATATTAACTGATTATTGAATCATCATTAATCGACTTCCAATTTCCTAAAAGAACCTTCGATTGCGTTTTCAATATTATCCAAGTGGTTGTTGGAATTTTTCGGGCGTTTACTGTTATCTGCTACAATCGACGATTGGGTTATAAGCCATTCTCGGTGTCTTATCAACTCATCGTACCAGTCGTCTGCAATTAAAACAAATAAATTATGATATGAATCCGATTGTTCAGCTAAAATGACATTCGTATGTATTGAAATAAATAATTCGTAAGCCATATAGTTCAAACCTGACTTAGTTTTAGTTATATAAATTATACGCGTCATCATGGTCCATCTTTTATTTTTTCATAAATTTATTAACAAGCAATTGAACTGGATTTCAATGATAACGGCATAAAATCCGTTATGCACACTGATGAGTTCTTTAAGCAAGAATTATCTTAATTATTTATAACAATTTTAAACAAGTTCATATTATTTTTTACTTAATTTTTTTCATAGTACATCATCATATTTTAAATATTATTTTTAAGCTTATCTTAAGAAGAAATAGAGATATTGGGTTAAAAACCTGATGGATTGGTCCATGTAAATATAAACTGGCATTGCTGGAATTTGGCCTGGTACACTGACATGCCCTCAGATTCTCATTTTTTCATAACTGTTTTAATGTGTAGACAGATTTTCATTTGTCGGCAACGATGTAATTTACATATATCACATTATGGTTTTTCCTTAGTTCTTATATTCTATCAGGATTATGTTGAAACTTATTATTTTTTTTTTACTTGATGACCATTTGGACTGAGTTAACGAAGTGTTTTTGTTGGGGTATAATTATTTGGATATACTTTTAGAAAATTTCCAAACGTAGAAGATTATAGTACTATTTTAGTATGTTAATACCTAGTAATATTTTTAATACAATTGACTAAAGGATCACTTTTCTTACACTAAGACCATCATGGGTGACTAATATGTAGCAAATATTGATATGCAATAATAGTTTATATAATTGGCCTAAACAAGCCTAACTAGTTAAAAATTAAGCCTTTATATATCAAAAGATATCGCGTTATTATTAAACAAAGATATTATGTGGGTTAGAAAAACTGGATGAATTGGTTCGTCTAAAGATACACTGGTATTGCTGTAACTTAGCCTGAATCACCGCCATGCGCTCGGATAAAAATGATTCCATTAAAACGTTTATTTAATACTTTCAATGTCTAATGAGTATATAGAAAGAAGAAGAGTAGCATGTTCAATCTACTGTGCTCCGAATTTAGTCGAATTTAGATATCAAGTTAAAATAAAAATTTATGATTTTTGCAATAATTGCTACTGACCTAGTATTTCATCAGACGTCTTGGGGTAAGTTCCTCCGTAGTTAAGTGGAAGAATACTAGGATCGATGTTGTTTTTCAGATCTTCGATGGATTTGTGATTAAATATCTGTAGTACACAAATACCATTGAAACACTTCTAAATACATTTTAAAACATGTGTGATTAATTACCCTCTGGGAAATTTTCTTATTCAAAAGACTTATTATGATATTAAATAACGGCTGTAAGAAACTTCTCATATTAACTACGTGAATTTGGTGTATCTGCGTTGGGTATGCCTTCTAAATATATAAAATAAATAAAATATTATTTACTAAAGTATAACGGTAAGAAATAAAATTAATAATTTTATATAGATCTAATATGTTATTATTAACATATATATATATATATATATAATTATAATTAGCTTCAATCCTTTCAGTTAATTCATAATATCTTGAATCAGAGTAATATTGTATGTATAATAAAAAAAAATACTTACCAATGCATTTTCAAGGCCTTTTTTAACATTAGCTAAGTATGCTGTTAAGTGATGCATGGAAACATTGTTCATATCAAAAATGAATATGTCCTTTTTATAGGTGTCTAACTTAACCATTCTGAGATCAAATGACATAGTACATAGTTTAAAACTATCATTACATACAAAATGGTCGGCTTCTTCAGTCCTTATACTAAAGAGGGTTACTCTGTGGCCCTCATGAGTTGGGTTTGGTAATGGGGCATAACAACTAAAAATCAATGTTTCAATTATAAATGGCAATGAAATATTAATAATTTATTTATAATATTGAAGAAAATTGTATTTTCATTTTAATGGGGTAAATGGCAAAAAGTCTGCTTGATTTACTAAAAGACTAACGTTATTTTTATTTTGCCACAACCAAATATAGTAGCTAGGTAAATACTAACGTAAGTTTCATTGCTTGAGTTATCTCTGGTGAAGTTGGATCCCACTCGGTGTAGTACTCTGGTATTAGGAGTTTTACAGTGTAATGCTGGTCCAACACCACTTTGGTTTTCTCCAAACTATTCTTGCACACGATCAAAATCATTTTGATTCGTTTTTCATCAATCCTCTTTTCATCGTCTAATAAATAATTGTATCGAATCTTGTGTAATATGAAGAATATATCTAAAAATAAAAATAATACGTTTTACCGTCTGGGTTGGGAAGGTGGGGCTGTTTTCGCATCCACTCCTTGAGAAATTTCACGTCAAGATCTATTTGTGTCTCAGAAGTACCCAACTCGCTATAGATTTGACTGATTGTGCTCGGTGATGGTAGTATTAACGTTTTAGTTTCCATTGCTGTGGAGTTGTTTGTATTTTACACGCAATCCTCAAGTGTTACAAATGATTAATTTGAAATACAAGTAAATAAATGACTTATATTGAGTATACCAACACGCTACTCGCTAGACTAAGAAAGGTATAATACTTCTTTAACGATATTAAATTATAATGGGAGTTTTATTGACAAAGAAACAATCTACAAGAATTTAAAGTTTTTCTCATGGTACTAAAATATGTTTCGGTTGTCAAACTATTATTATCATAATTTCATTGTTCTGATTTTCGCAAGTGTGTGTATTTTGTGTTCATTAGTTTTTTTTAGTTTTATTTATTATTTTATTAGTGCCTTAAATAACTACGTTGCTTGATAGACTAAGGAAGGCATAAAACTATACACTATTTTTTTAACGCCATCTAGTTTTGGTTTCAATGACATATCTTATTAAAATATAACCTCCAGGGGGAAAAATGAATAACATTACACTAGTTATTCAACGACATTAAGTTTCTCTGTTGGTGTTATTGGCAGAACAAATTTACAAGGTTATTTTTAAGTTATAATACGTCCAATGAATTTAAATTTTGAAGTTGTCAAATTAGTAACTATATTTCAGATATTTTTATCACAATAATATCATACAAATGCAACCATTATGTTGCCTTTTGGGGTCCTATTAATTCTTCCTTATAAAACTATAATAACGCGTTATCTTTTGATATTTGAAGTCTTTTTTTTTAGCTAATTAGGATTGTTTAGGCCAATTAAATAAACTCTTATTGCATGTCAATACTTGATGAATAAAGGTATACAACTGCGCTATTTATAAAAAAACTAATTCAGAAGGGAGTCAAGGGACATCGAAGTGATGTTCGGTTTAAGAGTGAATATTACCGTAGAGGATATGTATTCGACGAAATATTTAAATACTTTGGAGTCAATCTAAATAATAGGGATGACATGTACAATGAAATAATAATAATAATTGAGGTTAGGTGCGAAAAATCGGGGATCTTATTCAATGAACAAAATTTTTATTTCTAAGTTTTACTCCTTATATCTGCTGTTAACGGTCATTAGTAATGTATTATTGTGAAACGTGGTCGACAACTTAAGGAGACGAGACAAAGCTACTAACCTTTGAATGAAAGATTCTTAAAGGAATGTATGGTCCGATATACAATATGGAATTAGGGAAATACGAATGGAGGACTAATGCAGATGTTGAGAGAATCAGAGAAAAACTCTAAACTAAATGAAACAACAAAATATGATCACAGTTTAGCGTTTTCAATAGTTTTATCGAATTTCGTATTTTCTACATTTATAGATAAATAAAACATTTAAACTCAAATACCAAGAGTAAACTTACAGTTCATCGTAACACAAACCAGAATCACCTAGGTCTGTTATATTAGTACATCCAGTTTTATTATTTTCAGATAATTTATGCCAGGTAGACATAAGTGAACATTTGTAAAAGTAGTGAAGAAATGTATTTAAACATATAATTATTTGTTACACTGTACAGTTTTAGTTTAAACCGAAAATTGCAAACAAATAAAAAAGTAAAAGTAGTATAATCAAAAATCACTCTTTGCAATTTACTTAAATTTAAAGCTACAATGATGGCAAACCATAAACAAATGTGTAAGAATACAATAAAAAAACAAAGCCAGTACAGTGGGGTTGGGACATAGTGGAAACGGAGAGGTCACACGTCTACAGATTTTATTATAACTGAAAGTGATGAAATCACTTTTAAAAAAACGCTTTGATCCAATATAATGAAAATATTTTCATTGCGTGTTGACTGTTGATTCACACACACATAGAAACCTTGAAACTGACTACGGTCAAAATGTAAATTTACCTTAATTCTGGTGTTTTTCCTAAAAAAAATAAAAATTTGCTTACAGATTTTTGAGAAAATTGTATATGTTATGGTTTCATTTTAGATCTACCTTCGGTCTAATTTTCAGATCTACTTCTCTTAAACTTTGCTTGAAAAAGTAAAATAAAAAAAAAATTCTATTCCTTTTAGGAGAAAGGATTTATGATATTATTTTGGTTGTTATATCACTATTTTGCGAACCGCTTTCACACTCAGTTTGATATAAGAGTTGAGAGTTAAGTGATAAGTGATAAGTGATAAGAGATAAATCTTTGAGGACATAAAGGATAAGAGGTATTATATCTATGATTAAGTGATTTTCCGTAGAAGGAAAAAATGAACTAAGTTTTTTATCAAAATAACTAGTATAGGTGTAGTCGGAAATTCAGGTGTAATACACTCAAAACATTTTAGTTTTAAATCGGTTGGTAAGACGATAGAAAGAAGTAGCAAAGAATTTTTAAGATTCTTATTGTCATCAGAAATATTAGCATATAAGTAGCATACGAAATATCATTGGTAAGTTATTCATTGAGTTTTGACTGTCATAAGGTAATAGCGTGCATTATGTCAGTGAAATGTTTAGAATTTTTATATTTTTTATGATACACAGAGACCATTGTCTAATGGAAGTATTCATATTAATTTTACACTTAGATATCTGAAGTTAAAGATTTAATTACTTGTTACTATATTTAAAACTCCCCCAAACAGCCATACCACAATATTTAACAATATAAGAACATTACAACTCACAAACTATACTCTCATATGCTATATACACTATTTGTTATACATATTTCAAAAAAGTTACATAGTTTTTCACATTTATATTAGAACTCGACTAAATAAATTAATCGTACACGACATAACTTACACCACTCGAGGCCATTGAGGTCCATTACCGCAACACAAATTAGCTTCCACCTGTCTCTATCCTGTGCTACTGCTTCCATAGCTTGTATTCCAATTTTTTTTAAAGTCTTTTTTACTTTGTCTATCCATCTTTGCTTTGGTCTGCCTAGTGGTCTTTTCCCAAGGGGTTTCCATTTTAATACCGCTTTCATTTGGCTATTTGACCTGCATACGTGGCCAGCCCATGCGATTCTTCTATATGCTGTTGTAATTTTATGTTGCATCTATTTTCATATTGTTGCGTGATATTATTTCTTTTTAGCCCATATTATATTCTTCGTAATATTCGTCTTTCAAAAATTGCTATTTTGTCTTCATCTCCTGTGGTCGTTGGCCATGTTTCACAAGCATATAAAAGAACTGGTCTGATAATTACTTTGTAAAGTGTAATTTTCGATTTGATTGATACTTGTTTTGATTTAAATTTGAAAAAAAAACAATTCATTCTGATTATTTAATCATTTTTACACATGTACATATTATGAATTTCCCAATTCCCAATTGACCAATCGAAATGTTTAATGAACTATACCGTTTTTGTGCCAAAAGAATTATGACCGAAATTGATTATTCCTACAGCAAATGTACACAAGTAATATTTTAATAAAGATGACCTGTTTTTTTTAACAACGTTATGTGTACATAAAATCTTTTAGTTAAAGCACTAAATTATATTTAACAAAATTAATACCGTGATAAATAATAATAATAAATAAATTGTAGACACAATATTTTCAGGTGTCGAGCATAATAAATGACACAAGTCTGAATAACATTATCGTTATACTTATAGCGGTAATATTATTTTTAGTAGTTGTGTATTATAAAATTGTAAAAAAATTAACCGTACACAGCATAACTTACACCACTTGTTATTGGTCTAAGACTTAAGAAAAAAAATGTATTTCATCCAGAAAATTTGAATTTTAACACCCAATCTCATAGGTATATTTATAATAATTAAATATAAAAGGTTTATTAAAAAATTGAACGTAATATTATGCAGCAAAAAATATTAAATAGTAGCCTATAGTATATATACTACAACAAAAATAATACGCATAAATTATATTTTAACTAAATTAAGATTTTCACATGGATTATGAACGTATATATTAAAAATACCTGTTCAATGGACAATACATTTATATTAGAACACAACTAAATAAATTAACCGTACACAACATAACTTTGTACATACACCACTTGGTATTGGTCTAAGACTTAAGAAAAAAAAATGTATTTCAACCAGAAAATTTAAATTTTAACACCCAATATAATAGGTATATTTATAATAATTAAATATAAAAGGTTTATTAAAAAATTGAACGTAATATTATGCAACAAAAATTATTAAATAGTAGCTTATAGTATATATACTACAACAAAAATAATACGCATAAATTATATTTTAACTAAATTAAGATTTTCACATAGATTATGAACGTATATATTAAAAATACCTATTCAAAACTTAATATTATTTCTTTGTTCTAAATACTAGTAGGAATTCGTATGACATGAGATTGTAAACTTTAGAATAATGAAAAACCGAGTTTAATCGTTGTGTATAACTTCTAATGGAAGTATTCACATTAATTTTACACTTGGATACCTGAAGTTAAAGATTTAATTAATTGTTACTATATTTAAAACTCTCCCAAAAAGCCATACCACAGTTGTAACAATATTTAACAATGTAAGAACGTTACAACTCACAAACTATACTCTCATATGCTACATACACTATTTGTTATAGATATTTCAAAAAAGTTACATAGTTTTTCACATTTATATTAGAACTCAACTAAAAAAATTAACCGTACACGACATAACTTACACCACTTAGTATTGGTCTAAGACTTTAGAAACAAAAATGTATTTCAACAAGAAAATTTGAATTTTAACACCTAACCTAACCTAACCTTACCATATATTTAGTCTTTGATTCGTTGATTTGTAATCCGATGTTTAAATAATGAAAAACCTAGTTAGTCGTTGTGTATAGTTTCTAAAAGTTGATTATAGTATTATTATTTCTAGTATTCGTCTTATAGAAAATGCAACTAAATGAAATGGTTTCGTTTTGGCAGGTAAAAATAATTACTAAATCATATTTAAATTATAAAGTAGAATAAATTACTAATAACCTTTTAGTTAAACATTTTAGCTTCAATACCTAGTTGCGAAGGTATTGTTTTCAAATTGATGTTTTTAATTTATTTTTTAGCTTCGATGCAAAGCGAGAAGGTATTGGTTTTACTCTGATGTTGGCTTTTTTTTTTATCTGTATACACTGTAACTTTTTT